GTGCAGAACATGCAGGTTTGCATAGGTATACATGTGCCATATCACCCCGTCATCTACATTAGGTATTTCTCCTAATGCTATCCCTCCCCAATCCCTCCATTCCCTCCTATTCCTCCCTAGCCCACCACCCACTGACAGGCACCATGTGCGATGTTCCCCTCTCTGTGTCCATTTGTTCTCATTGTTCAACACCCACTTATGAGTGAGAACATGTGGTGTTTGGTTTTCTGCTCTTGCGTCAGTTTGCTGAGAATGATGGTTTCCATCTTCATCAATGTCCCTGCAAAGGACATGAACTCATCCTTTTTTTATGGCTGCACAGTATTCCATGATGTATATGTGCCACATTTTCTTTATCCAGTCTATCATTGATGGGCATTTGGGTTGGTTCCAGGTCTTTGCTATTGTGAACAGTGCCATAATAAAATGTACATGTGCATGTGTCTTTATAATATAATAGATTTATAATCCTTTGGGTATATACTCAGTAATGGGATTGCTGGGTCAAATGGTATTTCCATTTCTAGATCCTTGAGGAATCACCACACTGTCTTCCACAATGGTAGAATTAATTTACACTCCCACCAACAGTGTAAAAGTGTTCCTATTTCTCCACGCCTTCTTCAGCATCTGTTGTCTTCTGATTTTTTCATGATTGCCATTCTAACTGGCATGAGATGGTATCTCAATGTGATTTTGATTTGCATTTCTCTAATGACCAGTGATGAGCTTTTTTTCATATGTTTGTTGGCTGCATAAATGTCTTCTTTTGAAAAGTGTCTGTTCATATTCTTCACCTACTTTTTGATGGGGTTGTTTGTTTTTTTCTTGTAAATTTGTTTAAGTTCTTTGTAGATTCTGGATATTAGCCCTTTGTCAGATGGGTAGATTGCAAAAATTTTTAAAGGAGGAGCAGAAGTGAAACTGTGTTATTGCCCATTGGCTGGGCAGCTGACCTCACAGTCTTTTGCTTTCACTGATTTGCTAATTTATATTTGGCACACTTGGGAAGGAAAGAAGGGGAAGAGTTACAGGAGCTGAACAAAGGAAGCAAATTACTTGGTGGCAGATGCAACTTTAAGGAGGGGTCTGGATTGTGCAAACATGGAGGACATTACCCAATGATCCACCTTTAGAAAGCCATCTCACTTCTGTGTATAAGAGAAGGTATGTGTGCTCTGCATCCATTTCCTCACAGAGCTGCGTGAACAGACATGAGTTAAGGGCATGTACTTTAATGTGGTTGATAATTTTAATCACATCCTGCAAAATGTTAAGTTCAGGTGACACTTTTTGGCTAGCTAGCATTTCTCTGTGGAAGATTCAGTGTGTAGACTCACATTCAGAAGCAACCTCTTTGACCCCAGAAGTGAAACCAGAACGCCATCCAGTCATGGGAGCTGCTCTGTCTGTGCATTTACCAACACAAAATGACCAATTCAGTTTTGCTATGTAATCCTTCAAAGACTTGACTAATTCTGCAGCTGTGATGTTGGTTGCAACAAAAGTGCACATAATAGCCAGGTGCGGTGGCTCACGCCTGTGATACCAGCACTTTGGGAGGCTGATGCAGGCAGATCACGAGGTCAGGAGTTGGAGACCAGCCTGGCAATCCTGGTGAAACCCTGTCTCTACTGAAAATGCAAAAATTAGCTGGGAATGGTGGTACACACCTGTAGTCCTAGCTACTTGGGAGGCTGAGGCAGGAGAATTGCTTGAACCCAGGAGTCAGAGGTTTTAGTGAGCTGAGATTGTGCCACTGCACTCCAGCCTGGGCTACAGAGTGAGATTCCATCTCAAAAAAAACAGTGCACATAATATATCCTCATGCTTAATCCTCCTGAAAAATCACACAGAAACAAGCATTATTGCCTTGCTGACAACCTTGGTAAATTGTCAACCTGGATTGTGTACTACAGTGACTCATTAATCCTTTTTAACAATTGTGCCTCGATATCCCCTGCTATTTCATTATGCCTCTATGGTGCTGGTCAAAAGAGGAATCCATGCCACCTTTTGAACTGCAGCATCTCCTAGAAGTTCATGACAAATATCCTTAGCAGCAGGCAGTTTCAACTCTTCACCAATAGTAAAGGGCTTCTTAACTTTAGCAATCCTGTTAGCCAGTATAAATGATGCTCTCAGTGCAGACACATTTGATGAAGTGGTGGCCTTCCATAATTGCCTCTGTTCTTAGTGTTCATGATTTTTCTTTTGAAAAACTCCAAAGGCTTCTCTTTTAATCCAGGGTGGTTTATCTTCATGTGGCAAAGCAGTTTTGAAGGTTTTCATGACTTTGTTGGATAGCTGCTTGCCACAAATTAAAGCAGGCTTGGAGACTGTGAATCACCTGTTGCAAGGAACCTGCAATTTAAGCAGGTATTTTCTTTTAAATGCAGCTTTCTTTTTATTGGTAGTCTTATAGTCTTCTATTGTCTCATCATTGGGTCTTTCCCCATTTTCAAAGAAGCTCTCCAGTGACATTTGTTTTTTACTCATTTTGGCTAGGGTTAGCTTGTGGGCTTACCAAAACTGTGTCTGAGACAAGTGCTCAGTATGGGAAGGAAGAGCGGATGGAAGTGGTAAATAAAATAATGGGTGGGCCACACATGGACTAAAATAAGTGTTGGATTTTGACTTTAAAGCCTGTCATTAGATGCAGCTGTACAATTGAAGTACATCAACTCACTTCCCTCTGTAAAGCTTGCCACCAGGTGCAGCTTTTGTCACTTATCATTAACAGGATTTTAATATGAATCTCGAAGCAACTGATTTATTATGTTCTCTGTGCAGTCAAACCTCTCTGCTAATGTTAATCTGTATTTGCAGCTGTTCTCCAGCACTGGCAGCCCTGCCTTAGCTCCATCTCAGATCATTAGGTAATCGTTAGATTCTCATAAGAGGTGTGTAACCTAGATCCCTCTCATGCATATTTCACAATAGGGTTCATGCTCCCATGAGAATCTAATGCCACTGCTGATCTGACAGGAGGCGGAGCTCAGGTGGTAATACAATTAATGAGGAAGGCTATAAATACAGATGAAGCTTCACTGGCTCATCCACTGCTTACCTCCTACTGTGTGGTCTGGTTCCTAACAGGCCGTGGACTGGTACTGGTCCCTGGCCCAGAGGTTGGGGACCCCTGTGTTAGAGCATGTAGATGCTGAGTACATGCACCAACCACAGGTCCACCTTTGTATACTTGACCTTACCAGTATTTTATGAATATGTATGTACAGCTGCTATGTTGCCAGTGAAGGGTCTTGACTACAAGTCATACAGGTTCTTGGCATTTTGAACAAAGAATTGTACAAAAAGACACACACACACAAAGCAATGAAAGAATGGAGCAAATGAAGGCACAGATGTATTGAAATGAAAGTACACTCCACAGAGTGGAAGCAGGGTCTAGCAAGCAGCTAAAGAGCACCTGATACAGAATTTTAAATACCAATAGAGGTTTCCCATTGGTTACTTGGTTACACCTTATGTAAATGAAGGAGTGGCCCACAACCAGTCTGATTGGTCACAAGAGGCGACCAATCAGAGGCTGAAGTGAAGTTACAAAGTTACACATGAGGACTTGGCCTGCTACCAGTCTGATTGGTTGCTGGAGGGGACCAGTCAGAGGTACTTTCCATTTTTTCATCTGCAATCCAGTGCATTGCCAGTAGCTCTGATCCTTTTGTTACTTGTGAGTGGAGAGGTGGGGTTTTCCTTGTGAGTCATTTCTAGGAAGTCAGCACCAATTGGCCTTAAGTTCCCTGCCTCCAGACCCTGTTCTCCTGCCTCACCCATAAAGGGAATTCCCTAGAGATACTAAAGGCTATCTCTGTCTCTGAGCAGCCCACTCTGCCTCTCAGAGTGTACCTTTGCTTTTTTTTTTTTTTTTTTTTGAGGTGGAGTCTCCCTCTGTTGCGCAGGCTGGAGTGCAATAGCACGATCTCAGCTGACTGCAACCTCTGCCTCCCAGGTTCAAGCGATTCTCCTGCCTCAGCTTCCTGAGTAGCTGGGATTACAGGCACGTGCCACCATGCCCAGCTAATTTTTGTATTTTTAGTAAAGAGGGGGTTTCATCATGTTGGTTTCAAACTCCTGACCTCGTGACCCACCCATCTCAGCCTCCCAAAGTGCTGGGATTACAGGCATGAGCCACCACGCCCAGCCGTGCTTTTACTTTACAATAAACTTTTCTGCCTAATCTTACTCTGTACTTGCTTTCAAATTCTTTGGTGTGGCAAAGTCAAGCACCTGAACCAGCCCGCTGGTTCAACAGCAAGGATAGAAGTAATGAGATGGGTTAGGAGGCTATTACAAAACTTCCCTCCAGAAACGGCAGTCCTGCGAGGTGGGGAGAAGCAAGTTCTGGATAATTTTTTGAAAGTAGAGCTTACAGGATATGCTGACTGATTAGACCAGAGATGTCAGAGCGTGATGTCAAAGTGACTAACATTTTTGGCTAGAATAACTAAAGTTTACATTTATGAGATAGAGAAGACTGTAGAAAAAGAAGGTTTGTGGAAGAAGGTCCGAAGCTCTGTTTTGGACCTGTTAAGTTTAATATGCTTCTAACATCCAAGCAGAATGGTCAAGGATGTAGTCTTCCACATGGACTGGACATGTCATATCTGACTTTGAACAATAACAAAGAACATTTTGAAATGAGGAAAAGTATTTGTAATTGTAATTGGTGGTTCATTCACTATAATTTTTCCACTTTCTCTTTCAGGCCATGTCCCACAGAAAATTAAAAATATATATTTGTTATAGATAATTTTGCTTTTTTCTACTTAAATTCTGTTATAAACATTTCTCCACATTGCTTGATAGGCCTAACAACCATGTTTAAAGGCTGTATCTTCATAGAGAGGTAATATTTAAAAAAGAAGACGAAGACCAAAGAAAGACTCCCCTTCCCCCAATCCATACACCTGTGCTGTCTTACTGGGAGCAAACCCTTGATTAGCTCCGCAAAGCGATTGCACTTTCTCTTCCACGTCGGGAGAGGGCGCGCGGGCAGCGTAGGCACTGCTCCGCACTCCAGTCCAGTTGCTCCTCTTTCTTTCCGTCACTATTATTCCTCGCGTCCTTTGCCCCGGAAGTGCTCTTACAGCAGTGGCTGCCGGCGTGACTTTGAGCGCCACCCGGTACTCTGCAGGCAGCTGAACCGACCCGGAGCTTCGGGACTTTGACGTGTGTTCTGCGCTTGCCATGAGGCTGCTGGGAGCCGCCGCCGTCTCGGCTCTGGGGCGTGGAAGCGTCCCCTCCTTTCTGGGCTGGCAAAGGAAGCAGGTACTGCAGAAGCTGAATCGGGACCATTCCCGGGACCTTGTGGCCCCTTCAGGGCCATAGAAGGCAGTGACATCCCTGGGTCCTCCTGACAGCTCCGATTACTGACGGTCGCGCGTCAGTGCTGAAAAGCCCCTCCGTGCCTGCGCGGTAGCTCATTAACTCGTTTGTTTTGCTCTCTAGAACCCTGGGGTTTAATCAACTAAAAGTGCCTGTCGCTCAGATACTTTGGTATTTTATCTACCTTTTCTAAGTTTTTTTTTCCCCCCTCTCTTTCCTTAGAAATAGTTGTTCATTTTAGATGTGCAGTCCTGTAGGGAGATACTTAAATTGTATCTGAATCCTATGAAATAGGGATCTCCACCCCCTTCCACCAGAGTAAAGTTAAAACAAACTTCATAAATTGTTTTTGTTTCGAGGGAATTGCAAATCTCTGGGGGCTGTCTTGGAGCCATGAGTACCACTGCATAGAGCATGAAAGTTCTCGAACATATTTGTCGTCTGTAAACTACAATAAAGGAGAAAGGGGGAAAAATAAGTTAAATTTAAGCTGACACTTGTATATTTACTATTAGTTTTTGGAGTTGTCTTTGTGATTTTATCTGCCCCAAAGTGTATTTTCAAATCTGCAGCAAAAAGTATCTCCCATTTTATTTAAGTTTAATTTATTCATTCATTAATTTAAAAGAATACATCTTTTCCGTCTTCTCTTGTAGTCTCTCCTCTGATTACAAGAGTTCTAGGCTTAACCGTTTCCCTGCCGCCTTTCTCAGGCTATCTCATATCTACTGAGATATCTTGGAGGAATAATGCCCACCATACTCCTTTTGATTGTCTGTTGTGCTCTCTTATTTTTTGAGGTTAATTGGAAAGCCTGCCGATGGTCTTCATCAGGGGTGATTCCTAATGAAAAAATACGAAATATTGGAATCTCAGCTCACATTGATTCTGGGAAAACGACATTAACAGAACGAGTCCTTTACTACACTGGCAGAATTGCAAAGATGCATGAGGTATATATTCATTGTTGATTCCAGATTAATTAGAGCCTGATTTTAATTGTTTTGTTGCTATTATTTAATAAAGCTTACAAAACTGAAGGATTAAAACAATGATAACAGTGGACCTTTGACGGGCTTATGTGTCAAAGTTGCCTAAGTATCTGTTTTCTAGTTTTCTTTCTTTTTATTTATTTTTATTTTTTAAATTTATTTTGAGACGGAGTTTCGCTCTTGCTACCCAGGCTGGAGTGCAATGGCGCGATCTTGGCTCACCGCAACCTCCGCCTCCTGGGTTCAGGCAATTCTTCTGCCTCAGCCTCCTGAGCAGCTGGGATTACAGGCGTGAGCCACCGTGCCTGGCTTCTTTTTATTTTTTATAGATGGGGTCTCACTTTGTTGCCCAGGCTTGTCTCAAATAATCTGGGGTCAGATTATCCTCCTGCCTCGGTCTCCCACAGTGCTGGGATTATAGGCATGAGCCACTGCACCTGGCACCTGTTTCCATTTAGGTAAGATTTCTTTCCTTCTTGGAATGCAGAGGCAGAGAAAATCTGAATTGCTGTGCTTGTGTTTAGGTGAAAGGTAAAGATGGAGTTGGTGCTGTCATGGATTCCATGGAACTAGAGAGACAAAGAGGAATTACTATTCAGTCAGCAGCCACTTACACCATGTGGAAAGATGTCAATATTAACATTATAGATACTCCTGGTGAGTTGCAGTCTTGATTTTATTGCAGCTTCTTATGGCAAAACACATTTGGTTCTTTCTCTTACTATGACCCGGTTAATTTTTGAGTATCAAATACTCAAAAGTATAACGCTGAATTCCTATTAAAAAAGACTGACTTGGGACCTAGAGCACTTCATCCTTATGTCTTCTTTAAAATTTGTGCAAATAAATTGTGAGTAGGCAGAGTCTTGCCTTTTACATATTCTAGCTGATGCTAAAGGTGCCTTTGCTCTAGTATCTTTTTAAAGTGACCTTGCCGTGCCCTGCACCTAAGGGTTGGTGAATAGTATTGGTGAGCTCAGGAATCTACATTCTAGTTTGAAGACTTATGTGATGAGCAGAGATACAAAAACTTTTAATAGTGCATATATTAAACATTCAGGTTGCTCTTTAAGACCTTCCTTTACTTCATCTCATTCAGGGCATGTGGACTTCACAATAGAAGTTGAAAGGTCCCTGAGAGTGTTGGATGGTGCAGTCCTTGTTCTCTGTGCTGTTGGAGGGGTACAGTGCCAGACCATGACTGTCAGTCGTCAGATGAAGCGCTACAACGTTCCATTTCTAACTTTTATTAACAAATTGGACCGAATGGGCTCCAGCCCATCCAGGGCCCTGCAGCAAATGAGGTAATGAGCCTTAGAATGAACAAAGAGGATGGTCTAGACAGCAAACTTTATATCCAGAGGGATGATTAATTCACTGTCATTAAACTTTATTCTTAAATTTAGTTTTTTTTTTAATTTAAAAATGTATTTATGTGAGTTCCTTAGTAAGTGGAACACTAATTTTAGTAAATTAGCTCGTGGTATGATCTCATCAACTATCTTCTCTGTAAAATGGGGACAATATTACTTAAATTCTAAGGGGGGATTGAAGATGAATTCAGAAAACAATCTGACTGTTTATATTGTTTTGCTATTTTTAGAGAAGTTATAATCTAGATTCAAAAAATACCTTGTGTTTTATTTAGATAAAAGATCATCTTTGCTTTTAATTTTTCCTTGAATCATTTTAATTAATGCCCTTAAGTAGTTTGCCATAGAAATGATATTTTCTTCTTTCCAGAGGGAAACATATTTTCTAGAACAACAGTAACACTTCCTTTCTGTACCAGATAGAACCAGTGGTATTTATAGCATTTAAAATTTTACACAGTACTGTATATTTCACAAAGCCTTTAAAAAGAATCAGAATTTCACTTTTCACCTTTTGTAGTTGTGCAAATGTAGCTATAGAGTTCATATTTACGTTTCACATGGTATAGTTGACGGATATATAGATGTAAAGTTTATGGTAGTGGACAAGGTGAGAATGGCATGTCTGATTACAAAAAAATCTGATGGAAGTGATATATTTGTTATGAAAGTGAACATTTTCTTATTTGGGTGTTTGTAACTTTTTTTTTTGGTAAAACGTTTTTACTTTTTGTCCTTATTTTACTCGTGCTTGGCAATAGATGGACTTTTTTCACCAAATCTTCTGAATTCCAAGAAAGCTCTCTTTTGGCATTTATTTGATTACTTTGGTTCATTCTTTTTTCCACTCCCATTTATTTGTTTTCTCATTTTGTAAGTTCTATTAAACAGATAAAAATCTGGAACTTCTGGATCTGACCGTCATGTCTTATCTTTTCTATCATACTTATGTTTTCTCTCACCTTCTCATTTTGCATTAAGTTTATGAGAGAATTCTTGAAGTTAATCTTCCACTTCACTAATTTGATACTCATTTGTGTCTCTTCAGTTACTTAGCCTGCCTTAAAGCTTTTTTTTCCAGCAATTATGTACTTTATTTTCATAAACTTTTTTATTGCAACATCTTTATCAGTAGAGGTCATTGTTTCTCAAATCTTTACATTTTATTTTTTTTTTCCTCTAGTAACTCTCTTCTTGGAGAATAGTGCTATTAACTTCACACTTCTCTTTCAAGCTTTTGGTTTCCTTCAGATGTTTGGTGATTCTTAGACCTTTAAACATAGTTATAGATGGGTGTCTAGAGTCTAGACTAAACAGTGGTAGCTAGAGCATATTCTTCTCCAGTGAGAATTCCTGCCAGTGAATGCAGTTTCTGTTGAGTTTTGAGCCTGGCTGGGGATACAGGCTGATGAAGAGTGTTTGACTTCAACACCCACTCTGAGTTTTCCTATAAGAATAGGAAAAATATTAAATATAAGAATAGGAAAACTCAGACTGTGTGTTGAAGTCAACACTCTTCAGATAGCTGTACTCAATTTTGACAGAGTCAGTTGATGTAAGAATGAGAGGTGGGCTCGGCTATCCTATTTGATTTCCTGGCCAGACCCCCATTATCTGTTCTTCCCACTTCTGCTTTTGATCCAGTGTATCTGGGGATCTGATGGTAAAACAGTTATTTTGGAGTTCTCTTTGTTGCCTAAGTGGGATTGTGGCTTCCTGAGCTCCTTGAGTTATGTTGTCAGTCTGTTCCCAGCTGCTGTATATTTGCTGTTCTGACCTGATGTTAACACCCTTCTCAGTTCTCCAGTGTCTGCCATTGATCATTTTGTCATTTCAAAGGGATTTGGGGAGAAGAAAAAAAGTAAACCAGTGTATTTTTATTTTTCAGGTCTAAACTAAATCATAATGCAGCATTTATGCAGATACCCATTGGTTTGGAGGGTAATTTTAAAGGTATTATAGATCTTATTGAGGAACGAGCCATCTATTTTGATGGAGACTTTGGGTAAGTGCTAAAAATACATTAAAATTTTATATTTTAAAAAGCATTAAAAATAAGGAAAGGATAAATTCATCAAACCCAGAGTAGGTATCTTTTTTGAAATATGTCTAGAAGAGTACTCTGAGATGATTTTGTTTCAATACCTTTAACCCTAGTTGCTCCCCATTTTATTTAATATTTATTCTGAGAGAGACTATGTTACTTTTTGGTATTATGCTCATATCACGTTATGGCATGCATGGTGTGATAGAAGGTGGCCTTCAGTTTGGGTTAGGAAATTTTGGGGTTAGTAAATATATCTTTTTCCACTTGTTCATTTATTCATTTACTCTGTGGACTTTTATAGAGCAGCTGTCAGGTCTGGGGTATTGTGATAAAAATTAGGAAGAAGATAGAGATAATAAATATTTGTTCTACCTGCTTAATAATTACATTGCTTTGTAATTACATGGGCAAAAATGATTAATAAGTTAAAACAGTTAAAATTGTACAAATGTGGTTTGGGAAATACAAGAAATAAATTGGTAATTTTTTGACATGGTATTTGGTCCATCAGCTTTTGAGTGACTTTTACATATAAAGTACAGTAATTGTCTGGTGGTTATTAAACCTTAGCATTCATAGCAATCACCTGGAGACTTTGTTGAAAGACATAGTCCTGGCTCTACCTCCAGAGATTCTGATTAGTAGATCTAGAGAGGGGCCCATCATTTGCATTTCTGGAAGGTTCGCAGTTGATGCTGCTCTTACAGGTCTGCAGGCCACACTTTGAGTTACACTGATCTAGACAATATAGGGAGTCATAAATGATCCTTTGTTTTGAGGAGTGACCTCTGTAGCTTGGTAGTTTCTCCAAAGGCACTTCCTGAGGAATTTCCGTCCTCTGCTATGGAATTGGGATTGTAGGTCTGGCAGGTGGGTGAATGGCATTGTGATCAGTGAACTGTAGAATTTATCTTCATCAGCCATCTTGTAGGCAGGAAAAGGATGGAGTCTTTCCAGTGGATAGAGTGTTTCTTTCACTTTTTATGTGACAACTGATTAAAGACAACAGAGTTTACTTAACCACTCCTTGGGATATAGAGCCCAATATGACAAGGTGTTTCATTTTTTTTTTTTTTTCTACTTTATTCACTTCTATGTCCCAGCCCCTACAACTGCCTAGTACATAATAGGGACTCAAAAATATTTGTAAATGAATAAATAAATCCACTTTCCCAGAATTACCAAGGCATATCTTTCTTTTTGAGATGGAGTCTCGCTCTATTGCCAGGCTGGGGTGCAGTGGCCCAATCTCAGCTCACTGCAACCTCTGCCTCCTGGGTTCAAGCGATTGTCTTGCCTCAGCCTCCTGAGTAGCTGGGACTACAGGCATGCTGCACCACCATGCCTGGCTAATTTTTTGTATTTTTGATGGAGATGGGGTTACACCATGTTAGCTTGGACGGTCTTGACTTCCTGACCTCATGATCCGCCTGCCTCAGCCTCCCAAAGTGCTGGGATTACAGGCGTAAGCCACTGCATCTGGCCAAGGCACATATTTCTGTTGTCAGAAGTAGAGGCTCTTAAACATTATTGTACATCAGAACCACAGATGCAGCTTCTTCATGTACATGTACCCTTCCCCAGCCCTAGTTCACTGTATGTATATTTGGAAAGGAATCCACAAATGATTCTGACATGTGAAAGGCTAAGAAGCAGGGAGCTTGCAAGGAAGGATGAAATGAAGATTTGAAGGCTGTGAGGAGCCTTCTTTAGAATATTAAGAGTTACTTTTTGTTTCTTTGAAATGGCTTATTTTGTATTTATTAAAGTTAGGAATGTGTTTTCTGAAAAGCTTATTTTTTTGACATTAATTTCCATTTTTAAAGAAATACCTTGAAAAATTTTTGGATTGCTTTTAAATCAAGTATATTTATTTTAGCCTTGAACATTTTACCTGTTCAGCTTCTGGAGGAATGGAGAACTGATGTCACAGGTTGAAGAGTCTGTCATATTTAGTTACCCTTTTTTTTTAACTGCAAACTGGGATATTCTTTGTTAAAAACTATATGATCAGGTCTGTTATTAATAGAAAGGAATAGAGTAAGTTCCCTCTAGTGCTGCTTCTACAGATTGTTAGGTTGTGATTAATAAGAACATGATTAATAGAATTTTCAAGAGCTCAGATGGGCCCCAGACAGGTTGGCTTTGAATCATACCTCTTCTGTTTACTAGTAGGACAGCCTTGGGCAAATTACTTTGCCTATGTAAGTTAGTTTCCTGATCTGAAAATGCAGATAATATAACCTATTTCGTATATGAAGATCAAATAAATTACTTGTCAGATATTTAGTTCAGTGCTTACTATATTATAAGCATTCAATAAATGGATGCTTTTATCACTTTGCATGCTTGCTAGTTTTAAAATAGTTAGAATACAGTAAAAACTACACTGAAGAGTTTAAACTTTGATTCAGTTGATACTTTGTCAAGTCATTGTTTTCAACTTGTATTTTACTGTGTATTGAATAAGGATAAACAAGTTTGCATTAAATTGGGAAAAATTTTGTATTACATCTTTTATCATTATCTTCTGTAAAACTTGCAGGAAAGTAGAATGTGATGTCTGTTATAAAACTAGGGATGTTTTTCTCATTACAATGGACTGTTTTAGCTTTTCCATTTACTAGTAGTACAGCCTTGACCTTAAACTTGCCTGTTTCAGCATTTTTGTCTACTATTCTCTCTACATTTTAAAGGTATATGTTAGTCTTATTTGCCATTTGAATGCAAATGTATCAGAGCTCTTTCTTACCTAAAAAAAAAAAAAAAGTTTAACCCTTAAGCATATCTTTTTCATTAGTCCTTCATATATCAAGTTGAATATCCTTAAACCACCAAAATATTTGTTTTCTTAGAGAGATTGTTCGATATGATGAGATTCCCACTGAGTTAAGGGCAGCGGCTGCTGACCACCGACAGGAGCTAATTGAATGTGTTGCCAATTCAGATGAACAGCTTGGTGAGATGTTTCTGGAAGAAAAAATCGCCTCAATTTCTGATTTAAAGGCAAGTGCTCTCAAAATAAGTCAGATTAACAACAAAAAGAAGTTTGTTTTTTATAGGGAGGGGACATAATGCTTTTATGTATAGGCTTTATTAATGAAATCTCAGTACATTTATTTAAAATAATTGGCTTCCTAAAAAATACTTGACATGGTATATTCCTTTTTTTGAGTGAGTTATATAATAACTTCAAATGAGAAAAGTTGTTGGGTCCACTGAAATTATTGGGGACCTGATTTTAGTCTCTATTAGAGCCAGCCCTCCAAGGAGTATCAGCTCATTTTATTTATTTGTTGGTTGTGGCACTGTTGTTGGCCTCTTCTAGCTGCTAGAGCTGAAGCTCCACTACGTATTCTCTAAGGTCTTTTCAGCCAGCAGGACACATTGATGGTGTTTGGGGCAGGACCTGGAGCCTGCTACTGTCATGATTTATAATTTGTGAGAGATTTGTACTGTTTGATTTCCTGTATATATGTTCTTTACAAAAAGAAAAGATAGTTAAATGTTTCTTAATAGAGAGTATGTTCATATAGCTTAAATATTTAAAAGGTATACAAAGATAAATAGTAAACACCCTCTTATTTTTCTTCCATCTGCGCAGTTCTCTGCCCCCTCCCTGAAACAGGTTACCAGTTATTAGCTTCTGGTGTACCTTTCCAAAGGCTTTTGCACATGTATTACCTTTTCCTCTATTTTATACAATCAGATAGCATACTGTTTGCAGTGTTCTATAAGTGTGTCTATTTTCTGTGTGTATGTGTGTGTGTGTGTGTGTGTGTATTTGGCAAATTGAAAATGAGTGAGAATTAGTGATCCCAAGAGTGTTGAAAGCAGTTGTGTATTAAATCACTTCCCAGCCCTGAAGAAGGAAGTGATTCTTTTCTTTGTATTTTGACTTTGAGTTCATTGGGGACCTGATTTTAGTCTCTATAAGAGTCAACACTCCAAAGACTACAGTATCAGGTCATTTTATTTGTTTGTTTGTAACTGACTTGAAGACAACATGTAATTTTAACATTAACTATCATTAAATTGTTTTCTTTTGTAGCTAGCAATTCGAAGAGCTACTCTGAATAGATCATTTACTCCTGTATTTTTGGGAAGTGCCTTGAAGAACAAAGGAGTTCAGCCTCTTTTAGATGCTGTTTTAGAATACCTCCCAAATCCATCTGAAGTCCAGAACTATGCTCTTCTCAATCAGGAGGAGTAAGTCTTGAAAACTGAGTCTTAGTTTATGCACAAATACTTCTATATTTATACACTGTGAAGGAATTTAAGGATGGTCCTTCTAGTTATGTCTGTGACTTTTTTTTCCTAATTTACAAAAATAAATCATGGTTTTTATTTGGTTATCAATTTTGACATATAGAAAAATTTTATTATTAGTTCCCATAGCATATTCTGTTTGTAAGTTAAAAGTGATGATTCGTTTTGCTATCTCTCAAGGTTTATATCATTAGAAAATTTTTTCTCATTTGGGACTAGCTGTTTTCAGACATACTGTTAAAAAAAAAAAGGCTTTAAAAAACAAACGTCAAAAAAAAAAACTTTTATTTTTCTTTCTTTCCCTGTGAGACCATTTATGTGTTTTTTAGTCTATTCTTGTCCTATCACTATGTACTAACTAAACTCTAGAGTTTTTTTTTCTTTTTTTTGAGACAAAGTCTTGCTCAGTTGCCTAGGCTGGAGTGCAGTGGCACATTAATAGCTCACCACAGCCTTGAACTCCTGAGCTCAAGTTATCCTCTCACTTCGATCTCCCAAAGTGTGGGGATTATGGGCATGAGCCACTATGCCCAATTGAGAACTTATTTTTATTTATCTCTTTCAGTGAAATTTTACTTATGTGTGACACCAGTAATATCTCACACATGTGCTTTTTCTCAGATAATGCTTCTTGATGAAATAAATTGATAGAAATATTAAATAATTACATCTCATAGATTTGTATTTCTTTTATTTTAAGTGACTCAAAAGAGAAGACCAAAATCTTAATGAGCTCCAAAAGAGACAATTCCCACCCATTTGTAGGCCTGGCTTTTAAACTGGAGGTAAGTTGCTTTCTAATGTATTTAACTGCTGTCTGTAGAATTTTTTTTCCCTCTAGGCTTTATTCCCATTACAAAATGACTCTGACCTTTATGAAAGGTTGGAAAAATAGGAAAAATAGAAGAGGTAGAGAATTTCCACAGCTCTGACACTCAGATGATGATGGTTCTTTGTTATTAGGTGCATTTCTTTCTAGTCTCTTCTCTTTGCCTAAAGAGTGTAAATTTTTACCTAAATCATACTACCTGTATAATTTTGTCTTGCTCTTTTTATTTAATGTCACATTAGATAAAGGTCCATATTTCTATAAGTAGTTTAAACATTTTAAGTAGTAGCATAATAGTCCATCAAGCAAATACACCAAAATTTGCTTAAAATTTCTTAATTGTTAAGATGTTTATATTGTTTCCAGCTTTCTACTGTTATAAATAACATTGGGTCCATTTCTAGAAATGTGTCCTAAGGAACTATTGAAGGGTAGCAAATTGATGTTAACTTCAGCTTACCTTATAAAACCAAACTCTCACAAACAATTCAAAATTCCCAGGAATTACAATTTGATAAATAAACTGAGGTACATTCTTACAGTGTAACATTATTCAGACTTTTTCATCTTGATGAAATAAGCTTTGATTTTTAAAAACAATCAGTGCTTTAAAGTTTGTATAGTCAAATATGTCAGTCTTTTTGTTTAGTCATTCTTTAATTTTTAACCTTAGAAACCTTCTATTTGTATATATTTAGTTAATATTTGCTTTTGTTTTTTCTACTTTTGTATGGGTTTTTTTTTCCTCATCATTAATTCAACTGAAATTTATTTTGGTGGGTAGGATCTAAATGTTTCTCCTCTGCCTCCAAATAGAATATCAGTTGTCTAGTTGTGTATAAACAATCCTTTCTACTTTTTCCATTGATTTGTCATGTTTTTTTTTATCATCTATTGAAAAATATATTATACACTTTAGATTTTTATAGTATATGGGCTGTATACTCTAATATGGGTTAGTTCTATCTTTTCTGAGTTTCAAGCATTTTAATATGTTTTTATATCAGTCAAGGTTAGTTTTATCTTATTACCATAGTTCTGAAAAATTTCTGTTTTTACCTATTTATTCCTCCAAATGAATTTTAAAATCACTAATCACATGTTTAAAAATTCCTGTTGGGATTTGATTGCTTGTTCATTAAGCCTATAATTAGCCATGATAAGAACTAGCAACTTTTAAATATATGTTAATTGGTCACCACTAGTTTATTCAATCACTTCACAGAACTCTTTTTTTTTTTTTTTTTTTTGAGACAGAGACACTTTCACCTACCCTGTTGCCCAGGTTGGAGTGCAGTGGTGCCATCTCGGCTCACTGCAACTTCCACCTCGTGGGTTTAAACAATTCTTCTGCCGCAGCCTCCCAAGTAGCTGGGATTACAGGCACACCACCATGCCTGACTAATTTTTTTATTTTTAGCAGAGATGGGGTTTTGCCATGTTGGCCAGGCTGGTCTTGAGCTACTGAACTCAAGTGAACAACCCTCTTTGGCCTCCCAGAGTGCTGGGATTACAGGCGTGAGCCACCAGCCCAGCCACAGAACTCTTACTTGCATAGTTTTCCACGTGATTATCAGAGATTGTGTTTTAGATGTATAGCACACTACTATTTCTAGTGGTATCTTTGTTGTTTTTCCAGTTATACCTTGCTTTTGTTTTATATTTTATTTTATTACATTAAACTTATGAAATAATGTTAGAAGGCAAAAGTTACTTTCTTATGTAAACAATTTAAAAATTTTGTTCTAATATTAATAGCTTATTTCAAAGGAAACAGAACTGTCTTAGATTGTGATACCAAAAATATTAACGAATAACAACCATTTATCTGCATTCAAAGCTAGTATTAGTTTATGACAATAAGCCGAAATATGTAAAATGGATTACTCAAATTGGGAGGGAATACTTGGAGGGAGTCACAGAGCTTTCCTCAATAACTTTGATTCTTATGGTTCTTTTTGTTCTTCCTGTCCCTACCTAATCTTGACTTCTAGGCAGGTCGATTTGGACAATTAACTTACATTCGAATTTACCAGGGAGAGCTAAAGAAGGGTGACACCATCTACAACACAAGGACAAGAAAGAGAGTACGGTTGCAACGGCTGGCTCGCATGCATGCCGACATGATGGAGGCAAGTACAGGGTCATTGTGAGATGAGAAATTCCTCTAATATGAGTGAAGTAGACCCTTCTTGGTATCCTGAGCTCCATTAGAAAATTAATTCTGGTTAAGTGTATATTTCTAGTTTCTTCCTTTTACTTAAGTGTCCTACAGCTCTGATCTAGCACTTTGCTATAGGTTAAATTAGAAGATGTTAACAACTCATTTTTTTAATACCAGTGGTTATGAATTAGCTATATTTTCTCAAGGGTCAAGTTTAAGGAAAATAGGCAGTTTCCTAACACCAGAATATAAGACTCAGCATTAAAAATAATGTAATAGGCATTTAAGACTGTGGAACTGTGATTCTTAAAGACGAGAGTAGTAAATTTACATAATTTTCCACATTGCTTTGATTTATTTGCTTTCTGAAAAACAGCAGGCACAAAAGCCTTGTTTAACCCTAGAGGTTTTATTCCTATTGTAGAACCCACTGCAGGACCATATTGGTGCCAGAATCCACCTGAAGATTTAAAAACTTCAAGGGCTGATCTGGGAGATAAACTGACTATGCCTTGAATTGTTGAACTGGCTAGGAATCTGCCATAGCCCTCTGTAGTCCTTATGGTTAGGCTTTGGAAGGAACACTGAGTACATGAGTTTGTTCACTATCCCCACCGTTTGCAAATCCAGCTGTAGATTCCTTGAGAAATTTATCAGTCTAAGAAAAATCTTACGAATTTTTTGGTAGCTATAACTTTTGTTTCTTCTAGAAGAATTGTCAGTCTCAGAATCCGACAGCATTGCTGTTTTGTGAGATAGTCAGCAGGGGGCAGGCTAAGTGATTGTCATATAGCTGTTTCATGGACCAAGAGCTGGAAGATTTGTACAGTTGTGTAACCATTAAAGAAACACATGTCTCCTCACAGTCTCAGCTGTTGTGAGTGAACTGTCAATGTAAAAGGACAAAAACTAGGAAGGTTGGAGGCACCAATGCTTTATTTTTAGATTGCCTGTGTTTTCTTGACTGCTTGCATCTGTGAGAAATTAAAATTATTATTAGTACATTGGGCTCCATTCTTCCACCTTTGTTTTCAAAACTTCCTTTACAGTTTTCCTGGTATGTCTCTGTCATACACAATCTCATTGTCTAACTGTGGCAACATGTATAGTACATGCCTTTTAATTCCATAGAAATAACTTTAGAACTTTGAGGGACTGTGTTGTTAGTACTGCAGATCCTTCAAGTAATGAGTTTTCTGTTTAATTAAAGTAAAATCTTGTCTATTGATATGTGGTTTAAATAAAGGCCTTTTAAAAATATGTCTTATCACTGTTGATTGTTATTATTGTATTGGTTCTAGCTAATTGATTCTCTATAGAATTCAAGCTGAGAGATTCTGCCATGCTTATTTGTATACATTGTGTATACTGTACAGTTACTTTTTAGCTACCATACCTTTATTTGTATTACTTGCAAATATCATTTTGTGTTATTTCTTGTTTTAGGATGTTGAGGAAGTATATGCTGGCGACATCTGTGCATTGTTTGGCATTGACTGTGCTAGTGGAGACACATTCACAAACAAAGACAACAGTGGCCTTTCTATGGTAAGCCATTTAATTTCAAAGCTACTTACCACTAGAATTTTAAAAGTCTGTGTTTTTATGTAGTGCATTTAATACTTCAGAGAAACAACCACAGATGTTTTCATTGAGTACCACAGGTATCAAGTTAGTTGTGGCTCTTTGAATGTTGGTTATAGCTCTTTCAGTGTCAATTAGAGGAGTGCTCTATAAGCTAACTTACCTGGTTTTTCATAGTAAAAACTAGGAAAAGTTTTTACCATAGTAAAAAGGAAAATTTTGAGGGTCCACAGTCCTCCCAAGTTTAGCAAGAAGGAAAAATCTCTACCAGATCGTAACTGGACAGTGTGGCTCTGAGTCCTCCACCCTGAGACCTGCTTCCACAATCAGGGTACATTTCTAATTGTAACCACGAGCATCAAGCTAGTTTCAGCGGAGTGCTACTTCCTTATTAACTCAGTAGCCAGCAACTATACTGTTCCCTCAGTCCCTTGTGAGACCAGACTGTATCAGTTAGACTAGACTGGGATAACAGAACATAACCAGGCTCAGAAGGCAATATGCAGCTATACAGTCTGACTTATATAACAGCCTGCCCTTTGGAACTCAGAAGTCCCTTTTTATCATTGAGGGAGTCTGAGAGAAGAGCATGCACAGGTAGTTCCTGCCTTTGAATTCTCTTCACTCACTCACCTTTTTTGCCTTTATAGGAGAGCAAACTCTCCTACATTATGACCATTTGTTCATGAGAATATCTTTTTTTTTTTTTTTTAATTTTCACCGAGGCCCTAGGTAGAGAGTGATATCTTTCATGAATTCAGTCAAGAAAAAGTGTGATGATTACATAGGGTGACAGATAATTTGTAGTGGATCATTTACATAAATACAGACCCAACTCTAGCAGTTGAGCACTGTAATACTTCCTGCTATCTAATGATGAATTCATGATTTTATAGTTTAGTTCTTTTGTCTATAATATCCTCTAATGTGTATAGTATTACATGTTGATTTAAGATACCACAAAAAAACATAAATCTATATAATTTTTGTTTGAGACCTAGATAAAAGGAATATTTTCTAAGTATTATTGATAAGGCCTTCTCTCAGTACTTGTCATTAGCAACATGAAGTGATTGGTGGTTGTGGGCAGTGCTTACCAAAGCTTTGAAACAAATAGGCCTTGGCCAGAGTCTCACGTTGCCCTTTGCTGCCTAATGGCCCTTAGACAATTTATCTTATTTCCAAGACTTTAGTGACTTAATTCATAAGATGGGGTAATACCTGCTTTTCAGAGTTGTGATTGATTAAATGAGGTATCATGGGTATCAAGAATTTGGTGCCTTTTCAGTGTTTCCTTTATCAGTAACTGTAGTATATTTTGATTAAATAAAATAACTTAGAAGATTCTAACAGCCACCAAGCAATAAGAATTTCACCCCTCAGCATTTGGATTAATTGTAGTGATTATGTTAAACAGGTAAATAAACACATTGAATTATTTTATTTTGGGAAGGAGGAACTTATATAAGTAGATAGCTTTATTTATTAGTATGTTGTATTAATATATACTTATTTATTTGATGCAAAACAGACCAAGATATATATTGTCTAGCCTAAAGACATTGGCTAGTATTTATCCTTTGTTCTTAGTTCTGTTGTAAAGTGACACATTAAAATTAATCTATCCCTGACCCATAAGGGTCTGTTTTTGAATTCTTCTGTTTTCTTTTAAAAAATATTTTAGGAATCAATTCATGTTCCTGATCCTGTCATTTCAATAGCAATGAGGCCTTCCAACAAGGTAGGAGTTTGATTTAAAGCTTCGGTATATCACAATTAAAACTTGAGCTTTTTCATCTATCTCTACAATGCACTGGATATGTTGTAACAACCAGCAGTCTTATGGTCTCTATTTCCTCTGTTGATATTGAGAACTTCTTTTTAAATTTACTAGTCTGTTCCTAATGATAACTCCTCAGTATATTTGAATAAATTGAGGGTACTAAAATATTCACCTGACTGTACTTTATAACTCTTTACTAGATTATTGGCTTGAGAGTGGTAAATGTAACTTCCTGGATTCAGATCATAAACAAGTGGAAAAGGAGAATCAGGGGCATTTCTCCTAAGTTGTAGTAAAACCCCCCTATAAAGTATTTTAGAACGTTGAACTGATTAATTGACTCATAGGTTATAATATAGCTCTAGATTTTGTGCTAGTTATGAGATAAATGTCTGAGTATTGCATGGAAAGCTTGTAAACAAGACTTTTTTCACTTTGAAATATAATTTTTTTAAAAGATAATTTTATACTTTATAGTTTTATATTTGGGTTTGATGTAATTTAAATTAGCTTTTAACAAAGCCAAAATTGCATGATTAGGTTTTGCATTTTCATTCTTTGCCATGAGATTTAGTCTGATCTCAAACCATAATTTTTTTAGTTCCTAAGTTGCCTTCGCATTCATAACAATCATGTTAATGTGGTATATTAAAATTCACTTATTCGTACGTTGAGTGAACATTTTATGATTTGTCATTTCAGAACTTGTCATTACAAAACATACTCTGATAAATTGTCATGTGTAATATATCACTACCAGATGTGTATATACTACTACATCTATTTCCAGGAAACTTGAGATTTTCCAGACCTTTTCTTAATATAGAAAAGAAAAGACTGAGAAATATTAAATTACTCTGTTTTCTCAGAAACTTGAGGAAAGATGAACCTTGCATCTTAACCTTAGTAGGATGCCATAGTTTGTTACAAGTACATTGTTAAAATTGCTTGCTTTTCTCTTTGGAAGTATGCAAGGTTAAAACTTAGGCTTATGTATTATGCTTCTTCATTTCTAAATTCAGAGTTTATTTAAGACATTTAACTGTGGATAATTTACAATAATGGAGCGAAATTAATGCTTCAATAGCTAGAGGGTTTTTTGGTGTTTTTGGGGTTGTGTATGCATTAAAAAGTTTACAGATGGCTGCTTGCTGAAGTAAGTTAATTTAAATCAAATAATGAAGTCTCCATGATTCTTGATAGTGGGGGCAGGGATGGTGTTTCTGCTAAGTTGAGAATATTTGGCTTGTGCAGGAAAAAGGCAAAACACCTAGAAAGGCTAACCTGTGATTCAGTCCCGGTTTTGCCATGCAATAGCTATGTGGCCTTGAACAAGTCACTTAACCTCTCTGCACCTTATTTCCTCACCTGTAAAATGTGGATAATTCTGCCTTTTAGCATTGTGGCTGGGATTTGAGAAAACAAATGGCTTGGCTTGTGGCCCTCTTCCTCCATCTTCCGTGCTGGCAACAGCTGGTTAAGCCTCTTTCATGTTTCAGATATCTCCTGCCACTTCTTCCTTTGTGGAATTCCTCTGACCCACCCTCTGGCTTCCCCCTCCATTTTTTAAAGGCATACTTGATTATGTTGTACCCACCTAGATATTTGATAACAATCTCCCCATCTCAAGGTCTGTAACCTTAATTACATTTGCAAAGTCCCCTTTACCATGAAAGGCAGCATATTGACAGCTTTGGGAGGACTAGGGTATCTTTGGAGGGCTATTACTCTGCTCACCACGTGGGATCACATGGGGACTAAGGAGAATAAAGGTGGATCATACCACATCTAAGCAGATTATTTTGAAAGGGGTAGGTCTCATTGTGGTATTTTCCTATTTTTTGGTCTTAACTGTCTTGCTTGGATCTACAGTAGTGTCTTGGTAAACATGCTGATTCCTTTGATTATGTATAGGACTTCTAAAATGTAACACAGATTCCAGTTTCTGCTTTAGGGGCAATTTTCACAGGACAGTTTGTCAATGTAATAGGAAAGGGCATAGACTTAAGTCTTGGACTCTTGTTTTCTATCTTGGTATGGAAAGAAAATTCTGTGCAGTAGAACTAGATGTGTATCATTTTTATTTCTTAACTGCTAATGTATTTTATTTCATTCAGTAAAGTTCTTTCTAAAACCCCATTGCTTATCATGCTTAGCAAAACAAATAGTGACTTTCTTCTTCTTTTAAAGAACGATCTGGAAAAATTTTCAAAAGGTATTGGCAGGTTTACAAGAGAAGATCCCACATTTAAAGTACACTTTGACACTGAGAACAAAGAGACAATTGTATCTGGAATGGGAGAATTACACCTGGAAATCTATGCTCAGGTAATGAATAATAAGGAAATTAAATTGAAATCAGTTTATTACTGTCTGTGTTTTGTTAAAAGTCAATAATTTTCAATCTAATGTCTGTAACTGTGGTTCCTCATGCTTCAACTCTGGTGTGTATCCAGATGTGGTCAATTGCTTCCTTTACTATGTGTTATAAAATAATTATTTTTGATCTCTAAATCTTTTTATTTGGCAAACGTTCTGGACTGCTAGAATCAAGGCTCGGAATTTGCAACAAGAATATCAGTCCATCTCCAGATCATTAGTAAATCCTGGTCCAAGCCTTAGGGAGACAGCCTGTGGTTGTACCAACTCTTCAGGCCATTTCTTCTCAAGTCAGTACTTGAAGATTATTATAATATGGATAAAAGAAAGGGAAGGTGGGGCCTATACCTTCCCGGGAAAGGTCTTGTATGTATTGATATATAAGTAAAAACCAAAGATTAGAAATTTTGGTGAGCTCATATCTCTGAAGTTGAGACAGAAAATCCTGACAACAGATTTATGTATTATTCCAGTAAATTTGTAATAATATGGAACAATGGTGAAGTGTTAGTGGGTGGATTAATTGGGGGTAAATATAAATTTACCATTGTAATTTAGAATTCATTTATATAATATCTGTAAAAGCAGTTTGTATTAAGCATCACATACCTAATCCTTGTAAGATACTAAAATGATTTGAAACTTATTTATCTAGTGTATTTAAATGAATGCTACTAAGATATACAAGATGCTTGGGGGTTTTTCTTTGAGTTTATTTTTTTAAATTTAAATGATAATTTCCCCACTCTTTTTAGAGACTGGAAAGAGAATATGGCTGTCCTTGTATCACAGGAAAGCCAAAAGTTGCCTTTCGAGAGACCATTACTGCCCCTGTCCCGTAAGTATGCATTGTAATTAAACATTATGAGGCTGAAATTGAAGTCTTTTTATTATTGGATATACATACCACTATTACTGTTATAAAGACATTTTTAAATAGTGATACTTTGTATTATGGAATCTATACAGTTATATATTACAATCAAGACATTTATATAAAGTGACACTTCGGGATTATTTGGCTTTATAAGCTGCATGCCAATAAAATTGGCATACACATCATTAATAGGCATGCTTACACTTCCTCCCAGTGTTAAAGATTTTGTTTATTCCAGTTGTACTTCCTTTGGCAGACGGCTATTATGTTTTACTTTAGTGCCATATTGTGGATGCCAGAGAACTTGCATTTGCCAGGGAATAATCTCCTGCAAGTCAAGAAAATTAATGCTATAATAAAATTCAGAAAACATTGAGGAAAACGTATTTGGGTTTATATTTTGTTAGAGACAAAACAGTCTTCACAAAGAGTAGTACTTTTGTTAAATTGCTGCAACTATGATATACTTAAATATGGTGCCTATCTGGATTTATGTGAATTGTGATTTAGAGTTAAAATTAATAAAGCATACTGTGACTATACGAGGAAGTCTCAGTTTTCAGAATGGCATCAAAAAAGGTAAATTATACTTTACCTGAGATGCTATATCATGAAGTAGAATGGTATAATCTAATTCAATAAAGTCATCATTTCTTTGCTGTGACAAAAAATAAAAACGCCTTGTTTAAAACTTAATATCATTGGCAAAAATTACATTTAATTTTGAAAATCATCTTTGATTAGTAGATGAATATTTTATTTCCATTTAGGTAAAAATAAAAATTGAACATCATAATTTATTCAATTTAATGTGACAGAAAATCTATTTTCTTACACTAAATAAAGTGGTCTTTCAGATGCATTTTAAAATCATGATTTTTATGTTTGTTCCCCCAAAAAATGTTTACCTGTTTTTAGTTTCCAAGTTGTGGTAGCTACTTAAGAGAATTACCATGTGTAGCTTATTATTTAAGAACACTTTGTGTTTCCATTGTACAGAAAAGCATAATTTAAGGGATAAACTATAGTTTACATTGAAAGAATCCAATTTTATAATAGAAATTATTTTTTTGAAAACCGAAATAAGGCCGGGCACAGTGACTCACACCTGTAATCTCAGCACTTTGTGGGACTGAGCTGGGCAACTTGCCTGAGCCTAGGACTCTAAGACCAGCCTGGGCAACATGATGAAACCATGTCTCTATAAGAAAAAAACAAAAAAAACAGGCATGGCTATGCGTGCCTGTAGTCCCAGCCACATGGGAGGCTCAGGTGGGGGGACCATCTGAGCTTGGGAGGTTGAGGCTGCAGTGAGCCATGATTACACTACTGCACTCCAGCCTGGGCGACAGAGCGACACCCTGTCTCAAAAACAAACCAACCATCGCACAAAAAAACAAAACACCTGAAAATAGCAAAATGTACTCAGTGTAGTTAGTGATGGTGTAATTAAAGCTCTTTACTGAACTGCACAGTAGAGAAAAAACAGTTTCAGTATGGCATGACTATAGTAATTTGAACACAAAACTAAGATTGCTAAAGGAAATACTCTGTATTAAGCTGAGCACAAAAGCTAATGTCAGATTATAGCTCAAGATTTTACTCTTTTGAAAGCACAGCTTTGCTTGTGACTGCCATAAAAAGTGGCCCTGAGGATCTCTGTAGAGTGGATGAAAGGTGAGGAGAGTCATTACAATTGGCCCTTAGTATCCACGGGGGATTGGTTCCAGGATTCTCCTCAGATACCAAAATCCATGGATGCTCAAGTCTCTGACATTGAACAATATAGTATTTGCGTATAACCTATGCATACCCTCTCATATGCTTTAAATAATCTCTAGATTACTTATAATACTGTAAATAGTTATACTACTAAGTAATGGAAAAAAATCTGTGCATGTTCAGTAAAGATGCTACCATCCATTTCTGCCCCCCCCCCCAAATATTTTTGATTTTCAGTTGTTTATATCCATGGACAGAACCCATGGATAGAGAGGCCTGACTGTATATTGAACACTTGGGATTTTATCTTGCTGCTACTAATAAAACTATCTAAACCTTTTTGTTCTGTAAGAGGGTTTCAGTAAAGTATCATAGTTAAATCTATGTTGACTATCATGAAAGATTAAGAGCTACGATTACCATGATGCTTTTTGAAAGTGCAGTCTAGATAATACATATTAATAGTAAGTGTTTCATTGAAATCCTTGGCTTTGCCTTGCTATTGTTATGCTTCCTTGTCAGTATGTTCCCAGAGAATACAATTATCCAAGCACTGTTATTAGGCAAGTTTGAGGCAAAGGAGGTCTGTGGTTTGTATCTCTTAGCCAAATCAAACAACTTTTTACACTAGTTACTGTTGCTTTGAACTCTTCCTACAATTCTTCACCTTCTCTGCTTGATTGCAGCTGACCTCTCCTTTGAAATTCCAGGTTTGCTATTAATTACAAAATGACTATAGGGACGCTATTTATCCAATTATGAATTATAATACTTTTGATAAATATTAACCCCATTAATAGTGTATTTTATAGAGACTACTTACCACTTGCTTGACAGTTCGAATTTTTACCATCTTATACCATGTGTCTTCAGTAGAATTTTGCCATATTACATAACCACAGGCAACCCAGGCTAAATGTAGAACGAGCATCATTTCTGGAGGTACATTTCCAAAATTGTCTGGTGGGGAAAACGTTTATATGATAATTATATATATAGTATTAACCTCTTAAAACAATCTAAATTCTAAATCATGTCTTAGTTTCCTTCAGTTGTGTTCAGAAAATAATTAAGCTATGGATCTGTAAAATTTCTGAGGCCCCTTTTGTTGGATTAGATTAGAAATGAATATTTTTGCAAAAGCCTGTGTGTTTCTAACATAGCAACTAACTATTTTAGGCAATTGAGATTGATTTTAAGGTTGGAACAAATGGTTTTCATCATATTTATATACCTGGAATATTTTGTGCTTCTAGCGGTTCCTTCATGGACTTGAGTCTTTGATAAAATGTGTTGTCTTCTTCATCTGGGTTCTTTCCAGTTTCTCCTTCAAATGTGAAGTTGACTTCTGGTACAGTTTCTTGTCCCATTGAAGGGTAAAGTACTTCAGCTGTGCAGTTCACCACAACTTGCTGTTGAAATTTAGTGAAAGATCCTTATATATAGAAGGCTATTCATTATTATCAACTTTGAGATATGATTTAAAGCATAGGGCCCTAATGGTGTTGTTTAGACTAGACTTCAGAGTGCTTGTTTTCAGAGATACCTAATTGGGCCTGGCCTATTAATATTCTAGAGTTATGTGAATACCCTAAAATAGATAACTTACTTTATAAATGATAAGGTGTCATAATCTTATAAATTCTAGTCTTAAAACTGTTAATATATTTCAGTATTAATGGGGTATTCATTTGCAAGACCAGATTTTAGTCTGACTTTATAATACCAATCCAAGACTCTGGTTACTTTTAAAGTTTTTTCATTAGTCTTACTCCTTGCTCCGAAATAACAATTTTTTTTTTCAAATGCAGATGCAGCAGTCTGTATCTGGATGTAAAATTAGAAGATTATAGCATTGGGTTATGCTTTGTAAAGATGGCTGTCTAGCAGCTTAGATGTCTTTTAGTGAATCTCCTTATGAATTATGCTCAACAGAAAGGCAGGCTTTTTAAAATTTCAGGATGGCTATGGTACAGACTGCAGTTCCTTTCTTTTAAGTTTGTCTTATTAATAATTGGACAGTTGTATAATCTTTAAAAATTTCCCTTCCCCATTACTGAAAGATCTTTATCTGAATGTTGGTATCAGCTGGCATTCTGTTGCTTGTGAATATCTAAGGGCACTTTCTTTCTCTAAAAACCCAATGAAAAATAGAATGAGAAAAGCAGACATAAGAAAGTGATTGATTGGGGAGTAAATTACTTCACTTATTTATATTAGGCATAAGTTCAGACTGCCCTATGAGGATGTAACTTCTTAAGGAAATTCATTTGAACTTAAGTATATAGTCTTTTTCCATATAGTTTGATAGAAATAATTCATATATTCAGGAATACCCAAAGATTGTAAAGAACTGATCCCTGTAAACTTTGCCCATATGGTCAATATTTTTTAGAGGCAGAGATTTCACAGTAACTTTTTTAAAAGAGGTAAAACTAATCAGTCTTACGGGTGTGATCAGCAAAGATGATCTGGAATATTTAGAATCAAAGTTGATTTAATAAAAACATTTGGCTGGGCATGGTAGCTCATGCCTGTAATCCTAGCACTTTGAGAGGCAGAGCCAGGAGGATCACAAAGATAAGCCAGGTGTGGTGGCATGCACCTGCGGTCCCAGCTACTTGGGGAGGCTGAGGTGGGAGGATGGCCTGAGCCTGGGAAATTGAGGCTGCAGTAAGCCATGTTCCCGCCACTGTAGTCCAGCCTCACTGACAGAGTGAGACCCTGTCTCAAAGAAAAAAACAAAAACAAAAAACATTTTACTTACTTTTTGTATAATTTCTTCAATAGCAAATTTAAGGTGATACTTATGTCCTCTTCCTGGAATATCCTAAAATTAAGAAAATGTAATGGAGACAAGAAAATATTATAACAAGTCATATACTTGCGTTGTTAGAAGCATCCATCTCATTTGGTTGGAGGGGCTGGCTGATGGGTAATGGTGAAAGCCTCAGGTCTTGTAAAAGGCATGTCACCATGAATGTAACATCTAATTTAGCAAGTCCCCTATCAAGTTTATTTTGGATGAAATCAAAAGGGTAGGATAAAAGCATACGTATAAATTGGGCACAACTTACTTTCAATCATCAAAAGACTTTAACGTCTGGATCTGTGATTCTAAAGCCTCTACATAAGAAATTTTGAAACAGCTTTTAATTCTAAAGATGACAAATAATATCACCTTTGAGAAGATTTTTCATAAAGCTCAGTGTACCCTCCAAATAGTGTTCAGTGAATGTGAATTTCATTTTGAGGTAGATTACTGCAAAGCAATTGGAGACTTAATACACTTAAGTATTGTTTTTACTTGTATATTAGCAGAACTGCAAAATGATTAACAAATTTTATAAGACTAAGAAATAAGTATTTCACTTTTAAATCAAGATACAGATTGAAAATTTATACCTAATTATGTTATCTGGTACAGTTTTAAAATAAGATCTACCCTCCGTCACCTCTTAAAGACTGTTAGTTAAAATTCTGTTAGATAAATAAGGGACAATCTCAAATCCAGCAGATTTTATTAAAATGAAAACAAACTTCTTTAGTGATTGCTGAGGACTTAAGCATTTAATTCAAGCCTTTAGCAGAGTGTGCACATCATTTAAGGCAGTCATGTGGTAGTGGCCTTTGGGTGGCTAAAGGCCAGCATCAGGGCACAGTCCTTTTATTCTTGACTTTCATCTCACTTTCTCTTGCAGTTTGTTTCCCCCTTCATTTTGGTCAAAGGGTCTAATAGGGATTTGTCTTAAACCTTAGGCAATAGTCGTTTGGAAGATAGCAGCTTTTGTTGGTCCAGGTCAGAGTAGCAGATGAGAAACCGGGCAGCCTTAGGATTCTTTTGAATGGTTCCTACACTTAAGGAAAGTGCTGACCCTTACTTAGAGGGTTTTCCCATTTTGCAATTGTGTGCGTAAAAACTTTGTCTCTGCCTCAAGATGAAAACAGTACAGGGCTGTCTCCAGAGACTGGATTATAGACAGTCCCCCAGAAACATTAATATCTCAAGACCAGATGCCAGCAGTGTGTCCTAAAACAGAAGATGGGTAGGGGGTGGCACGGATTGTCTGCACACAGAGGCTAAGACGTTGGGTGAGTGGAGGGAGCGCAATCCTGGAGTCCCCGCTGCCCGCCCCTCCCTGATAAACTTACCTCCATGCTGGCTTGTTTGACCTTCTGCACCTGAAACACCCTGTGGGGGGTCCCCTGCTGGTAGTTAATGTAGTTCTGCGCCACCGAGGCCGCCCTGGAGGCTGGGTAGTTGGTCGGCGGGATTTCCATTCTTGATGAGCGGTGACTACAGGGCTTGGGCTATTCAGGGTTAACGGTACCAGAGCACCGCCCGTCCTGCTTGCTGCTGGGTACAGTTGCCCAGGCAGAAAAGTCGCGAGGTTCTTCCGTCCCTGTTTTCCTCGTTACTGCTCTCCGACTCCGGAAGCTGCTATTTGGGCTCAAGCTCCCTGCGTCCCAGCGCCTTGGGCTGGCTGCCACTGTGGCCCCGCCCCGCCACTGGCGGCAGCCGCCTTCCTTACTTGGCCAGCTGCTTCCTACTGGAGCAGAGGCCAGCCTGCCGTCTGGCACCTGTGGGTGGAGGTGTGGGGAAGGAGTCAGTGGGTTAGGTTCTCTGGGATTGCATCTTTTGTTTCAGTGACCTTTATAGAAGTGCAGGGTGGGGCTTTCTGGCTTTCACTTATATAGGACATCTCTGAGCCCTCCAGTTTCCCGTCCATGGAGAAAAAGCCTGGTTGCTTCCCTTGCATACTGGAGCACAACTTCCTTGTACACTGCACGCAGTGTCCCTGACAGGGCAAGGTGCACAGGTACTCCAGGTAGTGATTCGATTCCTTCATTTCCCTTTCTCTTATGAGAGTTCAGGAAGAGGCTTGCTTATTCTCAGCTTTTTGTGGTTTTGGACCAGTTCTGCCCAAATCAAAGTATGAGAATCTGCAAACTATGATATTAAATTGAGGGATTATGTAATTTGGATCAGGAGAAATGAAAAAATGCACCTGTACCCTTCTTCTTTACTGATCTTAAAAGGATGAAGTTTTGGTGTAACACTATGCTTCCAACTTGAGTCATTTTGAATATTTTACTTAAAGGGCTAAGATATACTTAAAAACTGAACTTATACAAAACATTGTCTCTGGTCTGTGGTCTCCCTCATTGAAATGGGCCTGTAAACCTGACTTTGTAGAAGTACAGGTTTATCCTGGGTGGTCTTAGGTTAATTGGGCTCGAATACCTTGGAGATTCTACCAAGGTTTGGCCAAAGTCTTTGCTGCCTGGATTGGGACCATTAACTTGGTAGTAATGCACACACCCGAGACTCTTGAGGTTTCTCTCTTTCTGATTATGTAGATTTTGCAGTAAATCTGGATTTTGGACTTTGGCCCCAGTTTCATGCTTATTGTCTTGTGGGATTTGGGGGTTCTGATTGACTTTGCTTTTAAATACCATCTTCTGTCTTTTTGCCTACCATCTTGTATCATTTTTCAGTGAAACTTTTCTCAGTCTTGTCTGTGTGTGAGAAATTTGCTTTGGGAGATATAGTCTACCTCTTACACATGGCCCTGTCTCTCCACATTTCTTAGGTCAGCAAACCCTGACCCACCCATAGCAACATTTTTGCAATTACAAAATAGCAGCCAGTTTTTCATGGGGTTGTCAGATATGAACTTACACTGTCTCCTGAGATAAATTTACCAAAGAATTGGTGAAATGTGGGGAACTTTGACATAAATGAGACTGTTCATTTCAAATGTACTTTAGAAGAACAACACCAGAAATCAAAAAACAAGACTTTTGGAGAATAGTAATTGTCTTATTTGTCTAAGATCATTTTAAGTAGATGACTGCCCCTATTTTATTTCCATACTTCAAGGCTTTATATTAATCACACGGCTTATATTTAAGCTTTTTCCTCTCTCCTTGAAGAGGAAAGATAATTAGCATTTTACAGTGATAATATATTTGTCTAAAACTGGCTTTAGCTCACCTTTTTCCTGTTTCTCTTTTTCTTCTGTTAAACATTTGAAAGATGATTCATGAGACTAAGTCATTCTGTCATTATATGTGCAATCCAGGAATATCTAGTCCAAATAAACAGCCAAAAAAATGTCTAAGAAAAAAAATCACTATTGGGCTTTAAAAAAATGTGGCCAAATGAACTTAAATAGTCATTATGCTTATAAGAAGCAAGTTTTCAAGATAAAAGAGGAGCTCTCAAATATGATTTGATGATTTTGAATATAAAGTTCATAAATTATATTTTTAAAAATGTATAAAGTATTTCTGATTAATAGATGAATTTGGGTGAGTCAAAACAAATTAATATGTATTTAAAATTGATTATATGTTTTCTTCCAGGTTTTATTATATAAAATTAATGCTGATAAAATATTCAAGTTTATATAAAACTAAATTGGATCTTCTCATGATCTAAACTTTCTAAATTTTATGTATTGATCTAATGGGCCAAATAAGTTACTAATTTGATCAGTTGTTTAAGATTGCAAAATATGAAGGGGTTTGGACCTTATAAAATTATTATGCTACTATTAATTATAAAAACCAAATGTGTTAACTAAAATTATAATTTTTTAGATCTTCAGTAACTTTCAAGCCCTTACATAATGTTAAATTAGTCCTGGGATAATTGGACAATTTCTAACTAATACATGATACAGAACTTTGGTTGCTAAAGATAGTTTCAATTTACCTTTTTTCTTATACATCATAAAATTGACTATGAATTAACAGAATGTGCATATACTTTGGTTGTTACATATATGTTGTTTTGCCACCTTAAAATTATAGAAGTAATCTAAAATTTATGTTTATAAAAATTTAGCTAACCAGGTGCAGTGGCTCACACCTGTAATCCTAGCACTTTGCAAGGCTGAGGCGGGAAGACTGCTTGAGCCCAGGAGGTTGAGACTAGCCTGAGCAACATGGCGAAGCCCTGTCTCTACAAAAACTACAAAAATTAGCTAGATGTGCTGGTATGTGCCCGTAGTTCCAGCTACTCAGGAGGCTGACATGGGAGGATCACTTGAGCCCAGGAGGAAGAGGTTGCAGTGAGCCGAGATTGTACCATTGCACTCCAGCCTGGGTGAAAGAACCAGACCCTGTCTCAAAGAAACATTTTAGCTGGACATTTCTTGGTTTTCTGTCTTCTGATTTTCCCTTTGGGAAAGCAGAAGTTGATTACTTTGGTTAAAAGTGGTGATTAATAAGAATAAGAATATACTTGGTATAATAACTACAGAAAAACATGAAAAATATATATATACACACACACACAAACAGACACAAGATAACGAATGTGAATTTCTACTTAAACTATTAGTTTGTTAGAATGGTAATTTCTATGTAATGTATGTATTGTTTTATTTAATATGCTGATAAAGTGAATTGTCAGAATATTACATTAAATATAAAATTTAAAATAAAAACTTATATTTTCATTTTACATAATTATGTATTTTTAAACAGATATACTTCATTTTGTTTTACTTTATTGTGTTTCATAGATAGTTTTTTTTTTTTT